ATTCCAACCATCTAACTATGAACAAATAGTCTTATAAACAATAGAGTTAAATTCCTACAATACACAATAATGTTTGGAGTAATTCACTTGATTATACACATCAAGATATAGAAAAACTCACAACCAATACAACAATTAATTAATAGAATGAATATAAAGTAAAGACATTATAATGCAAAATATTTCACCATGCACTAATGCTCTCTTAGAACCCATCCACCCTATAATGCAACATAAATATTATATTAGAAAAACCGAAACTATTTTGCTAAATTTTCTCCCAAAACAAACTTGTTTGGAGATTTTTATATCGTTGGAAACCTCTCAACTAGTCGAATCTCTTAAAATTCTCAACCAAAAAAAAAAATCCAACTCTTTGTTTTTTCCAAAATTTAATTAATCAAATTAAATTGAAATTGTTACCAAACTTTCAAAACAACATACGGAATAAATTTGAAATTAACCTGAACTATAAAGTAAATAATTAAATTCACTAAAATTTCGAAGGTCCAAATTATTCCTTATTCCAAGCAAAGGTAATCTTATTCAAATAAAAATTAGTAGTCCAATTTATTTTATTTGTTTATATTATATATCCTCCTTTCACGTTTGGGTAAACCTGTAGAGAAAGTTAGCTATAAAAGAAAACAAATAACAAACAAATCAAATAAATTAGTAGAATCTTAAGAAATAAATTTCTTATTTTTTCTTATCAGTACTTAGTAAATCGTGCACTAACAATCAAATTACTCATGCAATAACAACTAATTAACATAAAATAAATTGCATGAATAAATTACTTGAAACAAACAATTCAAATTCCAATAACTCTAGGCAATTAAATTAATTTTAATTCCAAAAGTCACTAGAATAAAAGTATAACAAAAACTAAATTGTTTTATCAAAACTATTTATAATGAATCTGTTTTTTCATAAAAATACAAGAAAAATATATAAAATGAATTAAATAGAAATGACAAAACAATTATTATTATTATTATTATTATTAAAAAATGAAATATACAATAAACTATAGAACTAAAAAACTCCAAGAATGAATTAGATTACACCATTGAATATATTACAAGATGGATTCATATAGACATATAAAATAATGGGTATGGCTTCTGTCCAGACCGGGATCGAACTGGACCGTGCTGTTGGGCCCTTGGGGGCCCACCACGGGTCCCGTTTTGATAATCTGAATCATTCAATGTGTAGAACTCGTCGAATACTATATGCCTGTAAAAACTCACGTTGATCGGATATCGATAGCTATATGATCAAATCAGTTTCGTATTAAAAAAATTGGACGGTGAACAAACTAACGGTTGACGAAAAATTGTTTTGATCACATAGCTATTGATATCCGATCAACGTGATTTTTTATAGATATATAGTACTCGACGAGTTCTACACATGAAACGGTTTAGATTATCAAAACGGGGCCCCGTGGGGGCCCCCACGGGCCCAACAGCATGGTCCAGTCCAATCCCGGACTGGACAGAAGCCATACCCTAAAATAATATGCGAAAAATTATTTAAATTTAAAACTTTGAAAAACAAAAGATAAATGATGCGAACCGAAACATGTGTAATACCACAGTTTCCTTAAAACAGATTTACCACATCTCGATGGGTGCTGGAGGTATGCCGGCGTCTATCTCATATGATACGACAGTCGAAACCAACTAATGCAGAAACACCTCCTGAATAGCTTTGGTAAATTTGATAATTGTTGCACTCTCTCTAACAAGAACCAAAGAAGGGGCTAGCAAAATAAGGTAGGAAAATTTTTCTTTGGTAGAAAAAAAAATATCTCTGACTTTTTATCTCAAAACACCATCTCTATTTTCCATAAAAAAATCTGTCGAAAATTCTCATACTAAGTTGGAAGAGAAAAACCTCTATTTATACAAGTAGGCTACAGGAAATATATGATTTCACAGCGTTTTTTAAAATGCTACTATTTTTAAAATTTAACACGTTTTATAAACGTCACATTTTGTTTAATTAAAACGATACTGTTTGAAAAGCGCCTTCAAATGTGTTGTAGTCTCTCTCTCTCTGTAAACCCTCAAATCTCTCACCAACTTATTTGAATCTGAGAAACCCTAGAGTCTCAGAGAAATTCAAATCTCTCACTCTCTCTCTCTCTTAACCCTTCAGCTCCTTGAACTCGATTTAACCTTCTTCAGCTCGGTGATTCATCATTCGGTTGCTCCAATCTCAGAATGATTTTGATTTCGAAGCTCCACCGCTACCGCCACCACCATCTGTATCTGCATCTGCATCTGCATCGTCTACTAACCATCTGCACGATTTCGATTTCAATCCAATCTCAGTTTCGTCGATTCTTCTCTCTCTCTCTCGATCTCTCTCTCTGTCTCTGTCTCTGTCTTCCTCTCTGTCGATCTTTCAATCTCTCTCAATCTGCCTCTCTTGCACAATCTCGTTCTCTGCATACACATTATCTGTACTTTTTTTTGGATAATTTTTTTTCTCCTAAAAATCTCTCTATACAAGTGTATATATGAATTTATATATGTATCTCTATGTATTGATTGAATAATCATCCTTATTTTGTTTTTAGGCTCTCAAATGATCCAATCTTTGATCGGCAGTGACGGGAAAAATGAACTCCTGTGAGAAAAGAAACCCTAACTTTCTCATTTGAGGTAAGTTCTAATATATTTGTTCACATGTTTGTTCTGGTTTTGATCTTGTTTAGATTTTTATTGAACAACTTTGTGTTAGCTTTTTGTTCATTGTTTGGGAATTAATATCAATTTATTAGCATTTGTAGTTTGAATGCCATGTTTATTGATAAATGTGTTCATTAAAAATACAGCTAATTTGACGGAATTGCAACACGGCATTTTACGTATGTTCATATGAATTTTTCATCCAGCCAATATAAAATAAATACCTGACAAGTATGTAGTCCTGTTTTATTAGTAGGATTCGATAGCATTTCCAGATTCCAGTCCTCCATCTTCATTATCAGCAGCAAATATTTTACTTCCAGTAATTTCCTTCAATTTATACCCTGAACAAGGCTTCCTGAAAGCAGCGTATAGTGAACATTTCCAATAAGCCAGTGAAATGAAAGCCATACAAGTCAAAAAAAATTGAGGTGCCTAATGGTACTTCATAGTGATTCTCTTGATGCAGGCATAGGTTGATAACATACAGCCGATATAAGTTGAGGCAGAATTAAGATTCAAGGAACATAACAGGCCTCACAAAAGCTATGAAGAAAATCTCCAAGAAAATTAAAATTAAAAATAAAAATGGAATCAAAACAAATAACTAAGAATTAAGCAATTCAACTTATAAATTAGGAGATCTGTGCCACAACATGTATATGTTCTGGTCACTACAAAGTTCAAACACATTACCACTAGCACACGGTGCCCAACTCTCTACACCAGCATCACTCTGCTATTCACCCCTATGCCAAGCAAGGCCTGCCACATCTCAACCATTGATCTTGGCGTGACCCCCCTACTCCCTCCACCAGTACCATACTCCCTAGCTGCTAGAATGAGTGATATTCAAACATAAAACCTGTGGGAAGCAATTCAATTGGTTTGACAATATCATTTTGGGGCAACAGTACATCCAGAAAATGGTGATATTCAACCATTTTTTTTATTTTTCATTTTGGCTTGAAATGGGTAGGGATTAGCTTTGGTATGTAATGTCAAAGGGTGGTGCAAAAGAGCATTTTTGAAGTGCAAGTGGCTAGATTGCAAGTTCATGTAGCAATTTGACCATTTGATAGCAAAATAATAATTAAAAAGATTTTTGAAGGTTGTCAAATTAGTCTTTGGACCCACATTCGATCCAAAATAAACCAAACTAGCACAACTCAACCCAACACACTGCTATGCAGTGACCGACACTGTATTTTGACCAAATTCCTTTGCTACTTTTGGCAACCTTTTTTATTTTTAATTTTCTGTAATCGTAGCGTGATTAGGGAGTTATTATTTTAATTGTGGTCTTGATTATGATGTGGCATAACTAGCCATTTCCCCTATAAATAGCATTGTAAGCCATTGAAGCTAATAATTTATTGATTGAGTAACAAAAATTTAGAGAAAGTTGTCAATTTTATATTGTTCTTGTTTTTCCTTATGTATACATTCAATTTAGAACAACAATATGAGAAACAAAATGGGATAATATTTTGAATCCGCGGTTGAAGTTAATAATCAATTTAGAGAAAGTTGTCAATTTTATATTGTTCTTGTTTTTCCTTATGTATACATTCAATTTAGAACAACAATATGAGAAACAAAATGGGATAATATTTTGAATCCGCGGTTGAAGTTAATAATCAATTTAGAGAAAGTTGTCAATTTTATATTGTTCTTGTTTTTCCTTATGTATACATTCAATTTAGAACAACAATATGAGAAACAAAATGGGATAATATTTTGAATCCGCGGTTGAAGTTAATAATCAATTTAGAGAAAGTTGTCAATTTTATATTGTTCTTGTTTTTCCTTATGTATACATTCAATTTAGAACAGCAATATGAGAAACAAAATGGGATAATATTTTGAATCCGCGGTTGAAGTTAATAATCAAATTCGCAGAGTCGATGCAAAATGGCAAAAATTACATGATGGATTCGAAAATAGTCAAAACAAAAACGCATTTTTCAAAGAGATCTAAAAGTGTATTAAATGAGCAATAATACACAACATGCAAATAAAGATATGAAATGCAGAACAAAAAAGAAGCTAAATTTGAAAGTAGAATTGGAAGCAGATCTGTCTCACCGTTTATTTAGGCTTTCAGCTTCTTCATCAGTAACTCAGCTGTGAGTCGAGGACTGTGAATTTGACCATCTCATGTTTTACCTTAATGGTTAAATCTTTCAAATACATTGATGTAACTAAGCAATGTCTTTGGAAGTCTGAAATACTACTGAAATTGAAAGCTGATTACATAAATATTGTTGCATCAAGTAAAACTACTGAAGGGATTTGAAGCCCTCTTAACTGTTTGGATTTATGACGCAGGGTCAATAATTTTAACTCTTCTATAATAGTTGGATCTCTAAATCTGGACCTGCCTAAACTAGTTAGAGTTCTACATTTGTAAATATAGTGATGACTTAGACGGTCATGATCATGGACACAACAATGGAATGTTTATTTAATTAATGGAAGTTCTATTGTGACTCTTAAGTTGTGACTTTTGATAAGCCATCTATATTTTCTTTGTTGTTCCATTTTTTATTTCCATTTTTTATAACCTTCTGGTTGAGGTAGTGGGTGATGGACTCAACATCTCTCCCTACTATTCTAGATATATATATATATATATTCCATTTCTGTGCACTCTAATCATGCCCAAATTTATTACTTAATGTCCTAATTTAGACGATTCTTCAGGATCATATTCACAACTAGCGGAAGACTACTCTAATCCTAACATCCATTCTGTTTCTGGCAGCTGGAATATGGTTTATAGGTAACGTTTTCAATCACTACTTTCCTGAATAAGAAACCACCTAAAATCAACCTTTGTTCATTTAGTAGCATCTGCAAAGGGTAATTTGGTATTTATGCAGCCTATTCTTATTTCCAAATGACCCTATAATCGACTATTTTCCCTCTTTTTTCTGTTGATATCCCTTTTCGTCTTTTGCATGAAATGCTCTGGGTTACTTTGGGCATGTTTTGTTTTGTTTTGTTTTGTTTTCATTTTCTTCATTTTTGTTTTTTGCGTTCTTGAAATAAAACGAAAAGTTCATAAGTGTCCATCATCTTCATTCCATATTGTGTGAACCATTTTCAAAAATTTAATTAAAATTTGGGTTGTTTTTCAAAAAATTTCCCGAAAAACAAGTTTGTGTTTTTAGAAAATCAATACGTAAAAGAAGAACAGGCCCTATTTCGGCCTCACTTTTTTCTCCTCCCTATTAGGTATTCTACCTAATAATCCACACGGGTGAAAATGAATGAAGAGAAATTTTCTTCACAAATCGCCCAACCCAAATTGACTATTATTTGTAATCCCTAAGGTTATGATGATCATTGATAACCATAGATCTTGCCAAGCTGGCAAGTTTTCAACGTCCACATGTCAACTGGCAGTAATTTTGTGTTATCCATGTGTGTACTTTGGCAGGGATCTTTATAAGATTTTCACAAAGCCGTTGAGCATCCCAATCTTTATAAGGTTAGCAAAATCAAAACCCCTGCCCTTGTGCTACTCTTTTTTCTCTCCTTTCATTCTGGTGAATGATATTAAACTTGTTATTTATGGTGAAAAATATATTATTTTATTTATTTTTTAAATGTTCATTTCATCACTAGTGCTTTAAAGATTTGTGCATATGTGTGTCCATAGGTTCAAGAAGATAAGTTAACTTGAGGATTGTATTACTGCATTGTTCTCCATCTTGAACCTCCCTGTTGCATTATGGTGTGATTAATTTAGATGTTAGTGTGATAGCCTTTTCAGACTATCGCATGGCTAAGAACCAACTATATTAGTTCTATGAGAATGACTTACCCTTATTTTGCAACCAAATGTATCAAGTATTGTTTCTTTTCCCTTCAATACTATCCCAATTTTGCAAGAATAGTAATCAAATTCATCATGTTATATATAATTGTAGAACCTCTTAGTATTTGCTTCTTGATGGTTAACGGATTTGGCCACTGTTTTTAACGCCAGAAATATTCCAGGAAGCTGGTCTCCTTCTCTGGTTGCGCCCTTATGAAGTACTAGTTACTTCTTACACGGCACTCATTGAAACGATTCCTGATACAGTAATTTAATACTTTTTTATTTTTTTTTTTATTTTTTTTTTTTGGTAGTGGCTTTGCCGCCGCAGTTGTCCGGAGTACATGACGTGTTTCATGTGAGTATGCTTCGGAAATATGAGCCGGATCCATCCCACGTGTTGGATTGGACCGACTTGGAGGTAGACGAGGATGCCTCGTATGAGAAGAGACCGGTTCGGGTCTTGGACATGCGGGATCAAGTCCTGCGTGGCAAGACCATTCCTTTGGTAAAGGTTTTGTAGAAGCATCACGGAGTGGAGGAAGCCACTTGGGAACGTGAGTTGGAAGTCCGCGAGAAATATCTGGGCTTGTTTGTTGATGTGTGACCATGTAATGGAAGTTTTGTAATATTGTTGAACGTTAAGAGCATTGTATGTGTCTTACGTTGTAAAACATTGTGAATGTTTTGGTTAATGGAAGTTTGTTTTAACATTGTGTATGTTAAGTATATTGTGGAAATGCAAGCATGATGATAATGTTGCACGTGTTATGGAATTGTGGAAAATGAGTTGAAATTGCTAAATTTCAAAAGAATGCATGTTGATAATGCAGGTTGTTATGAATAATGTGTAATGCCTCTTGAAAGGAGATGGGGTTAACCGGTAATGGGTCGGGTTGTCTAATATTATGTTGTAACATTATTGAGAATGGAGAAAACCTGTTTTTGAAAAACTTGTGTTTAATTTCGGGGATGAAATTCTTTAAAGGGGGGAGGTTATAGCGATCCCGGTTGTCCCTTTACTATTCTGTTGTGTTCCGGACTTGGTTCCGTGAAGTTGGTAGTTGTATTTATCTTGTTGTCGTCCTTTAATTCCGCTTGATTGAGTTTTAGGATGTTTTGGGCAGGGTTGTTACAGGTTGGTTAGGCCTTGGTTTCAATTCCTTGTTGCCCAGTTTTTAGGCAGTCCGCTCAAGCGGGTCTTCTTGCGCTCGAGCGGGGATTGCACACTCCCAGTTTTTTTGTGTCCTTGCAAAACTTCTGCAGGTGTGATTTTTACGCTCGAGCGGGTTTCTTTACGCTCGAGCGGTGGCGCTCGAGCGGGTATTTTAGCACTCGAGCGGGTAGTACCTTTTCGGTGTGAGTTCTGGGAGGGGGAAATCTACGCTCGAGCGGACTGGTTTTCGTGCTCGAGCGGATGTGCTTTATTCTCGTGTCTTGGCGCTCGAGCGGGTCTTCTTGCGCTCGAGCGGACCTAGTTTTTGTTCTTGACGCTCGAGCGTTGTGTTTTCCGCTCGAGCGGGAATGTCGTATATCAATTGGCTATGGGACAGTTTTAAATCACTTTTTCTCATCCTTTCTCTCTCTTACTTTTCCGAAAAAGCCATTTGAGAGCCTCTCTCTCTAAAACTTTGTCTTCTCTCTAGTTATTGATCTAGCTGGGGTGTTTTCCTCACCTTTGGCCTTTACAAAAAGGTTGTTGATCGTCGAGGGCTATCTTTTGATCCGAGAAACTCGTGGTTTGGAGCAACTTCGTTTTCACCATCTTCCTCGTTGGGTCTCATCTTTTGAGGTAGGGATTCCTACTCACTCTTATGGGTTTTAACCTAGATTTTTAGCTTATTGTTTAAATGGTTAATTTTGGGACTTAGGGTTTCAAAATGTGTCAAAGAGGGTTTTATGATTTGGGGCTCATAATATGTATTTTGGGTTTCAAAATGATGATATTGTTGTTAGTTGGTGATATTGGAACCTTTGGGTTAGTATCGAGAGTTGGGGGTAAAAGCCCTAATTTGTTGTTTAAAATTAATTGGTATAATTAATTTGGGAAAATTGTGAACTTATGGAATCGAGTTGGAAATAATGAAATTGGCTCATTATGTTGTGAAATAATGGAGTTGGATTTATAAATCCCTAACTTTTGAAAACATTGAAATTTTATCTGTTGGAGCTTTTATTATCTGTTTAGAAATAATTGCTTGGGCTACCGGTGGAGGGTAGTTTTGATTGTTGTAGACAATGCATGATCTAAAACTAATCAATTGGATATGTCATAGAATATGACGGTTGATAGAATACATTAACGTTATGTATTGACTGATTGTGTATATGACCTTTGTGTATATACA